ATATATACATTTGCTTTTTTGAGTCTTTAAGGTTCAGCCTAATTATGTAAACACAACTGACAGTTTTCGCCTATCTTAATCCAAATATCATTGATATTGTCCAAGATGATTAATTTAAATTTCCATTTCATTGATAAAATGCTGGTTTCCATCAGTTTATTTAAAAGTTTTTTTCTTTTTGATAAAGAGTCGGATGGAGATTGTCCAAGAGCCACTTTTGGCCCTCGGGTCATATTTTTCATGTCTTTTTTTTAGATGGAAATAAAGTTCTGGTTAAAAACAACACAAATGAAAAAAAAAAATTATTTGGTGATATTTTAGTCACAAATTTCCGACAGCATTGCCAACCTACTGTAGATGATGTTAACGTTAGTTTAGCATGAACTTTTCTGCAGGCTTTGCTTTGGCAGAATAATAACGCTATTGTCTTCACAGCAAGGATGCTGAAAGGTTTAAGTAGGGAGGGCCAGATTATGTAAACCAGCACTAAAGAGCTGGTCATCAGGCCCTGATCCAGCCCATAATTTTAAAATGGGAGACAAAGGTGACATTCAGAAGAATACAAGGGGCAAACAATGGTGTCTGTCAACTCGAGCTACAAATAGGGAAAGTGGACTGTAACAAAATGAACACTTCATTTCAGAGAGAGGTAGCTGTACAGAATATAGGGTACAATTCAACAGTCATGTCAGCGTCAAGCTACATTCAGTACCACGGCCTTCTCCTGCCCCCAGTAGCCCACACAGCAGAGAGCTTGGAGTACGCTCAAAACTTCTCTGTGGAAGACACTGACGTGTTCGCTGTCACTTATCCCAAGTCAGGTAAAGTCTAACGTTTTATCTGTTGGCTGTTTTTATTTGACCCACCCCATCTCAAGTAGATGTTACAGTTTCGCCTTTTTCAGTGTCCGTAAAGTAGAACGTACAAAGCAGGTGGGTTTTCTGCGTAGGACTGTTTGTTGCATCGTTATTTTAATTAATTTTTTTTATTGGGGCTTTAGGGTGCCAGTTTCATGGACTAGAACACTCAGAAGATCACAAAACTTGGTGTTGGCCGCAGGTTTTTTTTATTGAATGCCAGTTGAAAAGTAAAAGTTATTAAGAACCCAGTTTTGTGGTTTAGTGATCAAATCTATGAAACAAAAAAAGCATGTTTTCTACTTTGTACCATATTTGTGATCATGTTCTTATAATACAGCAGACTGGGGTTACTTTGTTTATTATAAAGTTTTGCATGTTAGTTTTGTGTTGACTTGAATAAATTACCTCTGCATGGCTTGTAAACCACCCATAACGCATCAGCCCGTCTTTTAATAAGTCCTAAAAAACACAATCACATTATTCTGGCCCCGGCTTGTCTCCATTGGCTACCTGTCCACTTCTGAATAGAGTTTAAGGTCTTACTGGTTGCGTTTAACGTTTGTAACGGTCTGGCCCTGTTATGTCTTCTCGTTCATACCTAAACTCCAGTAAGAGCACTCTGGTCAACCAGTCAGTTTCTCTTAGATTTCCCTAGATCCAAACTAAACTGCAGAGGGTATCAGGCTTTTGCAGACACTGCTCCAAAACTGTGGACCACTTTTCATATACAGACTGCTGAGACTTTAACTCTGTGCTCAAGATCTATTTTTCTTTTGATGCAGGCAGAGTTTGAGGTTTGATTAGAGCTGATGGTTTTTATGATGCGTTTCTTTTATTTTAACTTGCGTTTCCTTGATCACGCGAGATTTCTTGTTTTTTCTTATTGTACCGTTTTTACATTTTCTTTTGACTGAACTGTAAAGCACTTTGGTCAAGTTTTGCCATATTCATGTGCTATGGAAATAAATTATCAATAGCTTAAAAGTGGAGTAGATGGCAGTTTGCAACAGAAAGGTTACAGGTTTGACTCCAGGCTTTCTGTGTGGATTTTTCATATTTTTGTGCATGAATGGGTTTTCTCTAGGTGTTGTAGTCAAACCAAAAACATGTAAGTTTAATTGGCTACTGTAAATGATCTTTAGTGGGTCTCATTCATTTATAAGTGGTCCTGTGATGGACTGGTATCTTGTCCAGGGTGTACTTCACGCTTGTCTAGAAATAGCTCCCTGTAACTCTGTCATTTAGCAGATAAAACAAAAATAATGTGTACATGGACTTTTTCTGCTGCTCTACCTACATGGCTTGTCCGAGTGTGGGTTTTTGAGCTTTCTCTGTTTGAAACGGCAGCTTTTTATTATTTTTATTTTTACAATTGTGTATAATTTTTACTCTAAATGCAAATGAGTTTTCAGTTTGGGTACGTTTTCTGCTTCTTGCCTTTCTTAATACTGAGTGGTTCAGGATTAACACTAACTGTTAACAGTTAATGAAAATAAATTCAAACTAAGGTTGTCATAATGTAAAATTAACCATTTATTCAAATTGACATTTTCATAAAAGAAAAGTAGCCTAAAGAAACCTTTATAGGTGATATAAAAAGGGATTAGTCCAGTTCTTTGTCAGCTTCCAGGACGGATTATTCACAGACCAGGAAAGTTTCGTGCTGCATTCACAACCCATCTAGAGAAATTATTATTCTTTAAAGCTGATAAATAGTTAATTATTTTATATTGGTTGCTTTTGATCATCTCAAATAAGAAAAGCTATATATACAGTGTATTTAGTAAATCACGTGTTAGATTCAGTAGTTATTGTCCGATATCAGGTGTCGTCACTTTTCTCCGGTGGACTGTGAATGCAGCAGCAAAGCCCAGTGCGTCCTCGTTGCATGATGTCGTCTTCTGAGGATCTGTACCTGCGGTATGACAGATTTATTGTCCCGAAGGAGACACACTCCTTGGAGAGTCTGACATTTGCTCAGAAGTTTGAGTTTAAAGACGACGACGTCGTGGCTGTGACGTACCCGAAATCAGGTCAGTGCCGAAAAAGAAAGTATCTTTTAAATAAACTGATGGAAAACTGATCGGGTGAAGTCGGGCGCGCCCCCGCGAAGGAGCCCGCCACGGGACTGCGCTCAGGCTACTTTAAGCATAGACATAAACACTAGATACAGCATTGACCGCTATCGCCTACAGCCGCTGACGAACTGTAGGGCCGCCATCTTGAAACGGTCGACCGCTCCACTCAGTGTAACCTGTTTGACGAGCAATGAAGTATCTGTGCGTTTAATCAGTCCCAGCTGAATACTAAACTCATTCTCACGATTTTTTTCCTCTGTAAATCTTAGGCGTACAGCCATTAAAGCTGAACACATGGTTCAGTGTTTTTAAATATTCTTGGTGGAGTTAACATTAACACTAATAAAATATTCATATGACAAGTTTTGCAAAACTCACAGTCACCGATACATTTTTATTAATATCTATATATATATACATATATGTGTATATATATATATATGTGTATATATGTATATATATATGTGTATATATGTATATATATATATGTGTATATATATATATGTGTATATATGTAT